CCAGCAGGTCCAGGGGTCCCCAAAGGTGTAGATGGAGTCGGCGAAGGAGGGATGACAAGGAGACAGCGTTCAGTTGATCAGCAGCTTAGCTAGGATCTCTAGCCAAGTTCTGGTCAGGATCTCCAGCCAGATTCTGTGTCCATGTTCCCTCGCTAGGTTCTCCAGCCAGGTTCAGTCACCAGGTTCTAGTCAGGTTCTCTTGCCAGGTTCTATCCAGGTTCTGTAGCCAGGTTCTGTCTCTAGGATCTTTTGCCATGTTCTGTCTCTAGGTTCTGTGTGTAGGTTCTCTGTCTAGGTTTTGTGGCCGGGTTCACCAGGTTCTGTCTAGGTTCTTCAGCCAGGTTCAGTAGCCAGCATCTCCAGCCAAGTTCTGTCTAGGTTCTGTTGCCTTCTCTTCTTGTTGGTAATACCAAATGCCTCCAGTGTTTAGTTTATTGGCCTTGGTTCCAATAATAGTATTTCAGTATGTTAAGAATTCATTCTAACCCATTAGTGCTATCACCAGCTGTAGAGCTAAGGAACTTTTTATAACGGTTAATCCCATTTATCTCAATTTAAATGATTCTAAGGAAAATCCATTAACTAAGGAAATTCCATTGTGTTTCCACTATAAAATGATTTACTTTCACATTAAAATCCAGTATTACCAGTTTTTGCCATTCACATTTCAAATCTTCTTGAGCCCTAGCCAGTTTTGTTCCATGGATAGAGTATCAGCCGTGGACTGAAGGGTCCCGGGTTTTATTCAAGGGCACATACCTCGGTTGCAGGCTCAATTTAATTTCCAGCCCTGGCCGGGCACATGCAGGAAACAATCAATTGATGTGTCTCTCTCTGTTTCTTGCTCTCTGTCTCTCCCTCTCCCTTCCACTCTCTAAAATATCAATGGAAAAATATCCTCAGGTGATGAGTAACAAATATTTTTCCCCCCCTCAAATCGCTGGAGAGGACGCTAGAGAGAGTGGTGATATGCCAAAGGAACAATTTATAATGAAACAAAGAAAAGGCTAAAAACATCAAGAAGTGCCCTCCTACCTGCACTCAGGGGGCAGAGTTAAATAAGGTGAAAATATACCTGATAAAGGCACTGCTTAAAGGACACTAGAGAACTATGTCCTCTTGGCTACCACTAGAGGTAAATCATAGTAGCTTTCCAGATGGCTAAGGAAAACCAAGAACAAAAAAAGGACTTTGAGATAACTTCACATTAGAACTTGGCCAGACTTCCTTAAACAGTATCCTCACAGGGTAAGAGCAAACACCTAACCTCTCAAATATAATGATGAAAATTTTTGCAATAACCCAATCCATTAGACATACCACATTTCACTAAAAGATGCCATCTCTGTCATATTAATCATGGCCCACGCCCTACATGCAAACTTGAGACAGACTAAATTCATTAATTTATCTCTACCATACACATTCCTGGGGTCAAGGTAGTGCTCGATAAATTGGGCTTCTGGCTCAGAAACTGTGTTCTGTAGGGGTAGAGATATAAAAAAAAAATGCTACAAATAAGTGACCAATTCATAAAATTCATCACACACTAATTTTCAAAAACTGCTCAAGGACTTTCTTCTCACTCCAAGACAAGAATAGTTGAATAAGTAAATAAAAACAGCTAGTCCCTTTTTCTGACCAACTTTAATAGTAATGAAGATTCTTTTTTGTTGTTGTTAATCCTTACCCGAGGTTATATTTATTCCCATTCATTTTTAGAGAGTGGAAGGAGGGAGGGAGGAGGGGAAGAAAGAGAGGG